TCGATTGTCGGTTCACGAAAAATAGAATTTTTGCGAAATAAAAAAGTAAAGAAAAAATCAAATCTATCGGAGACATTTAGGTTAAATGAATCAGTGAGAACGAAAACCCACCAACTCGGAAAAATGAAAGTAATCAAGATACACACAAAACTGTAGAGTAGATGAAGATATTAATCTAAGGGGAAGGTTTTTGGTACCGTAATACACGCACTTAAGGTGATTCGATGGAGGCCATTTTTTGTGTCAGAGTGACATGCGATACATCGCATCGATTTGTTCCATGATTTCAGCTACTTGTCATTTTTTTTCGAATTTTGAGATCGCACTTCTGTTGTCATAAGACTTAAGAGTTCATGTATCAAATTTGACAAATGAATTCGTGTTAATAAAGACGTGTTTTTTTTTTTTAGAGGGAGAATATCGCATTCGAGTGCAGTTTCGATATCAGTATCGAATGCGATGTTTTTTCTCTAAAAAAAAACCACGCCTTTATTACGTTGAATTTCTTTGTTAAATTTGGTACATGAGTTCTTCAGTCTCATGACAACAGAAGTGCGATCTCAAAATTTGAACCAAATGACAAGTAGCTGAAATTATGGAGCTAATCGATGCGGTATATCGCACGTCGCGTTCACACAAAAATGGCCTCCGTCGAATCACTTTAAGGACATTTCAAAGGTCCAAGTTGGAGCAAATGCGCTAACTTCAATGACCTTTATAAAAATTGACCGTCTTTAATGAAAATTGATCATTTTCGAGTTACCGAGTTGATGTCTTTTCGATCTTACTGATTCAAATAAAGAGTGTACAGTGCGGATTGATTTTTTGGGTCAAAGTAAGAATTTTTCTGTGAGAAACGTTTTCCTCTGAGCCACTATAAACAGGAATAAGGCTCTTAGAGTTTTAGTATGTTACAACGAAAGTTATCTAAACTACAACATTCGCATTGCGGGATTGTTGTATGTGTTTTACCAAGCTCTGATAAAAAAAAGGGTTTGTGCATTGTAGGAGATGTGGAGTTTGTTGGGATCTCAAATTTTGAAAATGCGTGTTTTCCAATGCAAACAATTCGATTATATTTCTTTTATTCATTCTTCTGTTTTTTGTCACGAAACTTTGAAGTCCATCCTCTTTCAAACAGCTCAAAAGATATCTTATACTCTTTGGGAAGAAAGTCTTATTTCCACGAAAAATTGAAGCCACATATTTCGTTTGGCAAACCCTGTGCATGTCAAGCACATTTATTTGTCAAACACTTCATTTTATGTTGAAATTAAAAAAACAAATTCTATCCGATGATGATGCAAACCTCCTGCTTAACTTTATAGTTTAATAAATCATGCAAAATAAATGCTTACGACGCCGAAAATTTGTAGGTGTTTTTTCTATCGGTGCGTTAAAGTCTCTGAAGATTTTCAATGACATGCAGACAGCTCGACTAAATTTTGCAATGAGGAACTGCTATATCATGCTAATCTACCAAAGCGCGTATCTACGTTGGGAATCCAATGGCAAACACGTTGATTCTAAAATGAGACATAATAGTTCCTTATTGAAAAATGCAGCCCAGAGTGGTGTTAAAACGGTAGTTTTACGAAATGGTTTTCGTGATCAAAGTTAGATCAGTGTTTGCTGAATTTTGACGAATTCATTGTACATGTGGTGAAATTATATGTATGCAAAAAAAACATAGGCATTGAATTAATCTCGTAGTGGAAAGGTGGCAAGTGATGATGCTATGGTAAATAAAACGAATGGTATTCAGTGTTGGTAATGAGGAAAGGAATCATAGGTACATGAAAAAAAAATCTCTCGTGCGTGCGTAATACTTTTTAAATGAAACATCTTTTAGCTGACACAGTAAAAACTATAAATCGTGATGTTTTGTGAGGAATACTTTTGAAAGAGCTAAAGCAAGTGTCAGAATAAGAGCTATTTTGACTATCATTAAAAATCAATTGGAAATAAGCGTCCATATATGCATCTTAAAAGTTTGCGGAAAAAACTGACTGAAAACATTTCGCCAAAGGGACAAAAGAGTCAGAAGTTTGTTTTTTCCATTCCCGTTTCCCTTACTAGGCCAACTGTTCGACTCTTACATTTCCTGCGACAGGAATATCGCAAACCCTCCAGTCCTATTTGAAAATGTACAATACCAAGCGGTTTTTTTACAAACGATCAAAAAGGCGCCAGAATCCCTCGTGAGTGTCCGTGCCACTTTTGAATGATGCCGCATACTGCCGCACTAAGGAAGCAGACTGTCATAAGAACATTCAAGAGTTGCCAAATTTCCCTTCATAAAAAATTTATTTTTCATGACATTCATGCACATTTTTCCTTGAAATTTTCAGATATTTTAGGTTAAATTGCGTACAAAATTGTCTGAAAATTTTGGAAGAGATTATTCACAAATTTCCCAGTAATTCCAGTTTTTATCAAAAGAAATTTGGCAACGTCTGAAGGCTCATACGGCCTTCTTCCTTAGCACGTCAGTATGCTGCCGTGCTGAGGAAGAACGCCGTCTGAGCCTTCAGATGCTGCCATATTTCCTTCGATAGAAAAAGAATTGTCTAGGAAAATTGTGGATATTTTTTTTCAAAAATTTTTAGACAATTTTGTACGCAATTTAATCAAAAATATCTGAGAATTTCAAGAAAAATGTGCACGAATGTCATAAAAAATACATATTTTATCAAGGGAAATTTGGCAACTCTCGAATGTTCATACTGCGTTTTTTCCTAGCACGGCAGCATAGCAAGTCGAATTATTTTATCATACGCGCAGATCTCCCAGATATTGTGGAGATAAAAAGCGGTGATCTTGGGTTGTTTGCTTGTTGATTTTCGAGGCCTTTTTTATTTAATCGTTTTATTGCCTCTGACGCCTTTAGCGAGGCCCCACACGTGCGCGGGCGCACGTGTCTGGGGGCAAAGTCTGTTATTCTGGTCATTCCTCGGCGCGGATTGAAGGCCCACGATCTTTTGTCTCGTAATCGAACCGTGCAAAGTGAGTCAACCTTTCTACACGGAAGCAGGCCCGAACTATGAAGAGAACGGATCGATTACTATCGATATCTCCCCATTTAAAGTTATTTAAAGAATCGATTATCAAACTATTCGTTGCAAACGCCCTGTTCATCGATACTTTTCCATAAGTTTAAATGGCAAACCAATTGTCGATGTATCACAAAGCAGCCGAGCCGACAATCTTTCTGTCTCATCTCGGTGTGGGTATATCACCGAAAACTTCGGTCCTCCTTTTAATGGAGATGTTGCGTGTGTGCGGAATTTGCGATTTGACTGTAGATTCATAGGTGAAAGTTCGCGAGAAATACGATGGTGCCACTGGTTTTCTCTGAAATCAACTCCCAAGCTCAAGAAAAGCTCTCAAATTGAGGCCAAAATGGAGGGGATATCCCACCCTGCTCTGAGAGTCCACGTCTACATCAAGACAAACTCTCCATGCAAAGATAGGGAGGAAATACATTGACAGGGCTGCCACTTTATTTGAGGACTCTAAAACTGAAAACGCGGCAACCCTGCTAACTTATTTGCTCCCTATTTTTGCATGGAGAGTTTGTCTTGATGTAAACGTGGACTCTCACGGTAGGGTGGGATATCCCCTCCATTTTGGCCTCAACTTGAGAGCTTTTTTTGAGCTTGGGGGTTGATTTCAGAAAAAACCAGTGGCACCATCGTGCTTCTCGCGAACTTTTACATAAAAATCATCAGTCAAATCGCAAATTCCTCCCACATGCAACATCTCCATTCTGTGAATCACATTATACAAAATAACTGATTATATTTAGGAGGAAAAATTCTGCATGTGTCTTCGTTCTTACCGATTTGAGGCGTTGGGCGCAGGAATTGGATGTATTTCTATCAAACGGAACTATGTGCATAATAACTTGAGCCCTGTTATGCATATATTCTTATGGGTCGCAGGGCTCATAACTGGATGCTTATAGTTCCGTTTGGCAGAAATACGTCCAATTGAGGGTACCCCTTGCTTGCGGTGGTTCAGAATCTTCACAATTAATTGGTATTTTAGAGAGGAAACTGCTCGGTAAGTTAGTTAAAGTTTTTGATTTCGAGCATTTCAAAATCACATAGAATATTGAGAAAAGGTTTAGACAAAGTACATACATTTGCTTTGATTAAATTAGATGAAACGTTAGTGGAGATTGTGAGGCACTGTAACGGAGGAGCGCCCTTTCTATAACCAGCGCTTTAATTTTGTCCGGTGATCATGTATGACTTGGTGACTCAATGCCTTGTAAATCCTTGAGAATATACCTTAAAATGTAAAAAATTTCCTCGCGATTCAAATATTTTGAATGCTGTTCCTTTATTGTTGCTTTTTTCCCCCCTTCAAGTTTTTCCATTTTTAAATAAATAAAATATGAGAGAGAGAGTTAGGCAACGATGTAGTTCTGATGTAGTTCAATTGGTTCTAGTAAAATCTTTCCAACTCTGTGTCTGTCTAGTTAAACAAATCCAACGTTTCCAGTTTGGTCTATTTAAGTTAACACTTGACATGCTCATGGAACCCCTATATAAATTATGGTAAAACCGACTTTTGATGGCACCGATCATATCATTACTTTATTTTAACCAACATCGCCTTCATTTCGACCGGATCGGGTCGCACTAAAACCGGAAACGTATCCATTTTCTGGGCTTTTTTGTGTCAATAATATTTTTCTGGAGTTCATGGAAGTGGGGAAAAGCACAGGTTTAGGATTTTGGTAATCTCAAAACCATTCACCGCAACTCTTTAATGATTATACCTACCTTAGAGAATATTATTGGACCACAACAATTAAAAGCCGGATTGAAAACCTCAGCGTTTCAGCACAGACCAAATTATACTGTCATTTTTCATATGCCATCCGCTTGATTAAAAGCAACCTATTTTTCAGTGCGAGGATGATTTTTAACATCATTGTGTAGGGCTCACGACGATTTAAAAAGAGGAGATAGGAAAAAAAGGAAGTCTGATTAATACTTAACGCAACTACACAAGTTTTATTTCAGATCCATTATAATAAAATAAAATAAAATAAAATAAAATAAAATGCAACTAAAATTGAAGTGAGAAAAAACGTCCATCACATAATGAGTAAATACTCGAAAAAATTATAGTAAAATTAACAGATATTAAGTTGCTGCGAATGCAGCTACAATAAATGAAAGCCTTCCTAAAAAAAATGAAGCCTTGAAAAAGAACTTAATGAGATGTCATACATTGCAAAGTGTTCAAAAGGTTTTTTTTTAACTTTCGATCGTTTAGGAATAGGTAAAAATACCTATTTTATTTACTAGTCAGTTCGATTGAAATCCAATTAAATCACACATAGTGTCAACTTCATGCTGATAGTTTGAGTGAAGGTAAGTATACGAAAATAAGAAAAAAACTGTGATGACGGCATAACATACAAAAGTAGTGTTAAATTATAAAATGTGAATTTTTTTCACTTCGAATGACATTAGTTAAAATTAGATTTCACATAAAACCAGTTTTTAGATTATCCTGTGGTAAAAATTTATAGCAAAACGCTTGCTGTGATTTGTGCTTCACGCAAACGGTGAGATGAATATGTAGGTCAATAGAGAGAGAAAATAAAGTTACTTGACAAAAAATAATTGCTGGTCATTTTCTATCCGTTTTTTTCAGAAATTTAGAAGATGATCGATTATGAACTAACTTAGAGAGCTGACAAAAATAGTAGTAAATGAATGATGAATAATGAAACGTGGAATTCTAAAAAAAAAAAAATAAAAATAAAAGAAAAATAAAAATAATAATAATTTTTTATAAAGGGAGTCAAAGATAGACAAATGCAACAAGAGGCTTTATCAACCAAAAACAATAAAAACATAACCAATCCTCTAATTTAACAGTCATAAAATTAAAAAGGGGGTGTATTAATTCAAGATAGAAAATCACTTTGTGAGTTTCAATGTTAACTCCAGTTTTCTTGTAAGGCACCGAAATTGAGTCAAGGCAGAGGATGTGACGTTGCTCACATTCATGTGATGCTGCTTATATTCGTAACTACTGATTCTATCGGGACGAGAGAAGGCGCCCGCACTCTCAGAAAATAATTGAAATCTCATATCATTTACATGCAAAAAAAAAAAAAAAAAAAAAAAAAGATGATAAATAAATAATATAAATGATAAAAAGAATTACAGTGCCGATAATGTATGCACTTGTATAGTCTAAGTAAAAAAATACAGTCAGTGCAGTCAGTACGCAAATATGAACCCCCATTTTTTATGCTTGGCTTTTCGGGACATTGCCTGTTTCTATTGTATTTTATTATTTTAAAATAATAACTAATCATAGTTACCTGAATTACGAAATTAGAAACTTTTAATCGGAACATAACATAAGAATAAACTTATTACTTATAATAAAAATAATTGATTCAATGATTTTTGATTCAACTCTTCTGTTTTCTTTCATCACGAAAAAGCTTTCCTACATACAGTTCATAGAGTTCTCTTCTGCATCTGAATTACTGATTTAGTAGTCCAACATTATCATTGCCAACTTGTTCACAGTATTTCATCTTTCTTACGCCTCTAAAAAAAGATGCAAATGAAAGCAGCTGAAATTAGTGAAGGTGACACATTTTGCTGTTTACTTATAAAATAATGAATTGTTTATACAATTGCATCTTTGGTTTATGACTGTATGACTTTTGTTGCTAATATTTAAAATTAATATTGTAGCAACAAAAATAAAATAAAATAAAATAAAATGATAGGCGATGAGCTCATTATCATCTACATCTGAAAAAAATTGATATTTACATATATACATATTGCGATACAAAGATGAGATGTTTTGAACCTTGCTTAGGGCAAAAGGTGTTTTAAAAAGTGATGTGGAGAAAGCAAATTTCTTGTATGAATTGCTTGAAAGTTTAAGAATTTTGAAGAACTGTTTACATACATATTTTTGCATTCTAACAGTCCAGGAAGTGAATATACTTACAGTTCTATATTTACATTATATACAGGGTTTTCAAACTTAAACTGACTTATGAACGTATCAAATGAGAGATAGGTAAAAAAGAAACACTTACACATTAAAATAATAACTGTATAAGTAGATGAGATTCTTTTTTCAGGAAAATGTAATTAGTCATTTATAACTAAAATTTAAAACCTGCAAATAATCACATTTTCATTACTGACGGACTGAGATACATTTAAAATATTAAGGTAAAAAAAAAACCTAAGGCATCAAGTAAAATGCATCTTTTCTCGAGGCAATTAAATGCTGAGAATTCTCAGTACTTTCTTGAAAAAATTTCAATATGCAGTTTTAGTTGGCAATTTCTGCACGGCGCCATAATAAATAGACGCGATTTGAGAATTGCAGCTCTAGACTCTCTTGCTTGTATGATCTCTTGCCTAAATGAACATTAAAAAATGAAATAAATTATTTTCACGCCCATATCCAATGTTTGGAAATAACTTGAAGTAGGTGGTATGCACACGAATAAGTACTACACTGGAGTAATGTAGACATGAAACAAAAGAATGATTGATACTGTTGCAGATTGAATTGAAGACCTCTAAATCATCCCTTGAACTAAAAATTTCAGAGAGACGGGGGAAAGAGGGAGGATCCTTCACTAGAAAAAATATCTAACAATCAGCAGAACAAATGGAATGTTGTTGAAGCGGAGTGTTAACTCGAAGAAAAAATAAATGGGAAAAACCTAAAGGAAAATAATATTACAAATCACTATGAACCTAACTGAGAAAAAGGAGTGAAAAAATTGTATAATCTCTCTCACTCTCACATTGATGTGGTGTTGTCAATATGTAAGGCATAATGCAAAATGATAAGTGCCTGTAGTGAAATATACATAACCCCAAAGATTGAAGGGCAATCAGTTGTTTTACATTATTACTTGCCTCAGTCCATTCATCTTAAAAAAGGTACGTATAAAAATACAACTATATAAATATATACATCACCAAAAAGTCTAAAATCAACAAAAGTATTGGTTAAGGATGTTAAATCTTCCCCGAAAACATACTTGGGTTTTTTTGCTTGTTTCAATCTGACATGCAAAGTAAATCTGGTAAAAACAACTATGATGTAAGTAGCTGTATTCAATGCGTTTTTTTACAATCAATGATAATTTCCCGAGGATTGGTTGGGCCGATCCCTGTCATGATCATAATTTTCGACAATTACACTCTTTCATTTTATATGAAAATACTTGGCTAGGTACTGAGTACCTACAAAATTTTCCATCCATCGGCCAATATGGATAACTTAGAGACATAAATCCCTGATTGATTAGTAACAAATTAAGAACATGTCCTTCTTAATCAAGAAATGCTCTTTTTGCCTTATCATCATTTGAAAAGAGAAACAATATAAACAGAGGGGAATTAATTTCCGTAATGCTACAAGACACGATGCAAATTAATATGCTGAGCAGAGCTACACTTACTACATCTCAAGAAGTATTTAATTTAGAAGTGAAAACATCGATTATTTACAGACGAGGCAACAAGGTTAAATCTGACCCTGAACCCGGGTAAACATTATTGTGGGGCGTTCCTTGGTTGAGATTATGAGCCAAAATGTTCGAGGTTCCTCTGTTGTCATTGTTATAATCGTCTGTAAAGCAAAAAAATATTGTTATTGGAAAATGAGAGAGGACGGAAAAGATAACTTGATTGAAATGAACGCAGAAATTTTTCTGATTGTCTTCTTGCTTGAGAATAATTTTTTGGTCATCAAAATATGGTGACCTCTTGCACTGTCTCGCCATGGGAGAACACAGTGTCGACGAAAAAATGACTTCTAGCGGGCTGATTGTAGAAATTGGTAGACAGAGCTTTAGACAAAGAAGACAAAAGAGATATGGAGGGATCCTTTTGGTGGAAGCGAGTGGTTACAATGAACAAAGGAGGTACGCAATAGACTAACGAGGCACCCCATAGTTTGTCTTCTTTGTCTATCGGTTTGTCTATCAATTCGACGATCAGCCTGCTGAGCAAAATTGCTGCTGTTTCGATTGCTTTTCTTAACTAAAATGACGTCAAGTTTTGAGCACTTACGCTTTCGCGTAACTCGTTTATTTGGTAAAAACGACGCATTATTCTGTTATGGCTAAATTAGTTAGATTACCTACGTCGAATTTGGAAGGAAACTCGATTTCGAAAATTTGAGCGATGGTGTCTTTTTAGGGACAGGATAGATCATGATCGGCTTATTATATTCAAAAGAAGTAGAGTAGCAATGAGTGCAAACGCAGTTAAAAATGCAATGAAAGATTAACAAACGCATCAGATTTCACAAAATACGATCAATTTGACAACTCATAAATTGGTAAACACACGCTGTGCGCATGCAAAGTTCGGAGGTTCTTCCTAGTATTGCACTTTTCTGAAAGTACAATAAAAACCTCATAATGATATTCCTTTACAGTTTTCTTAATCAAGCAAAGAGGAACTATTTAAAACTTTGCGAGGACATATTTACTGATTCTCCTTCTTATAAATTAGGAGCGACTGCGAAATCGCAGTATTACAAGCCCCAAGCTAATGTTCTCTCCTAACAATTAATACAACGAATCAATACTTACTAAAAATCTCTAGTTTGTAATTTCTGGCGGCTTTGACTACTGCCTCAGTTTTGATACCACCCTTTGGCTTCCGCTTCCGTGTCTGTCAAAAAAAAAAAAAAAAAGAATTAAAATAATTTCTTAAGAAACAATGTAAAGTAAGTCATACCTCAATATATGTATAAATGAGTAGGATTGCTTTAACCGTGAACCCGTGACAGTTTGTCAAAACTGGTTCGTACCTGTGCAATTTTGTCCGATTCTACCTTTATATTGTAGTCAAAATAATTTGTATCGCATGTGCATATGTCGCAGGCAATTAGCAATCGCCGGCAATTTGCAAGCGGTTCACACATTGTTTCAATATAGGTATCGCAATAATGCGCATCGGCATGATGCAATTTTTAAGGGTTATGGTCTTCAAAAGTATGAGCTCGGCTTGTAGCGCCTTCATTTCTCGTGATACTCCACGCTTTGTCACGATGCAAGTTTAGTTGCCTGTCCGATCTCAACCCGACTAATGTCACGGAGTTCACTGCACGCTCTCCTGAGTGTGCATATTTTTGCCATGTTTTTAAGGATGGAAAAGTGTCTATTCACATCATAGGCAACATAATCAGCACTCTGATCTTATTATTTTATTTATGAATAGGTAATATGATTTTCTATATTTATTGACCACTGGCTTGCAAATTGCCGGCGATTGATAATTGCCTGCAACACATGCATACGTCATACCGACGGTGAAACTACCAAACCACGTATCTCGGTTTGCAATGTCGCAGACTTCCTGTCCTACTTTATTTTTTAAATGAAAAACTACTTAACATCCAGTCTTGAAAATTTCTGTGATTTTTCCTCTTTGGCGGAGAAAATTCCGTGAAAATTTCAAGGAATGATATTGATTTGGTCTACTTCAAAAAAATAAAATGTGAGCGTAGATTTTTAAACACCGCAAACGAGATACGTGGTTTGGTAGTTTCACCGTCGATACGTGTTTTTGGTTGAAAAATCCGCGATTTAGCGTTACGTAATTTTTGAGCGGGCCCTTGTGGCAAAAATTACTCGTCTAACTTTTCTTGCCTTGTGGTTAAGGCTCCAAAGGCGTGCTTACAATTTGTAGCCTTTAAATTTTATTGTGAATCTTATTTCTCGCCCTTAAATCAAAATATCTGAAAGTGATATCATGATACAATTTTTCAACCCTTGCGTGGCTCTAACTGTTTCACCATCGAAATTTTTGTCTCGCGAAAAGAGAGAGAAAATAAAGGACCCCTGTATTTGTTTTTTTTTTGTTGATTTGAAATTTTTGGACCCCGATTAGCGTAGGAATTAAGAGCTGTGAAGTTCGAAATGTCCCAGGTGAACTCTCTGCGTTAAGAGAAAAAGAAAAAGAAATCGGCTTTTTTATGCATATTAGTGAGAGTAGCAAGCATGTCCATTAACAAGTAGGTGCGCCCTTTTGAAATATAGTGGATTTTAAGGGATTTTCATCTCTTGTTAACGGAATATGCGTATTCACCGTAAAAATGTCTTCATTTAGCATGAGTTAACGGAACTTTTTCTTCATTCACCGTAAGTTGACGAGTTTTTTTGGAGCAGCACGGAATATTCGCTCGGTAAATATACGGTACTTTAAGGTAACCATACTGCATATCTGTATATTATATGTATATCTCTGCGCTTTCTCTAAAAATTTTAAGGATGGAAAAAGATGCGATGAAAATACCTGAATGTTATCTTTTTTCATAGTTGGCGGTCTGTTTTGATTGTGCAACTTATAGTATAGTCCACACGCGTTACACACGGGCTCCCCACTTGCATTCCTTCTCCATAATGAAGTATTTGTGGTCCGGCAGTTGGAGCAAATCAGACCGCTACGCTTCGAAACAGCCTGCGAATTGTTTAAAAATTACATGAGCAATCGTGAGAAATAGATGTTATGTTACGCTGATTAAAATTGAAAATCATCACAAAAAAACTCATGTTTCGGCTACTTTTTGGTAGATTTTCGCACTGGGAAAAAAAACACATTGGATCTACAGTCCAGACTCTTAAAAACATCGACCAGAAAAAATACTCTTGATTCAATCAGATTTAAATCAAGAACCAAGCCTCTTAATTTGAGCGGATTTCGTTTGATTTAAGCTTAAATCTGGTTGAATCAAGAGTCCTTTTTCTTGTGAATGTTTTCAAGAGTCTGGACTCTAGATTCAATGTGTTTTTTTCCAGTGCGAGCATGACAATTCTTTAGTTTTATGTTTAAGGTCAAACATTTTTAAGTCAAGTGTGTGATGGTCATGTTTAACTGATCGTGCGTTTAAGAATTGGATAGCATTTAGCAAAAGGAACCAGCGCGATTACAGTATTTTCAAAATCATGCAATTTCTTCTTTCCTCCTAAAATACTTAATATAAACACAGTATTCAAGTTTACAAAATTATTTTCCTTTAAAATGAACAATTTTTTGAAGGGAAGAAACACCTATTTGGTATTCTAGTTGATTTTTTAGATAATTTTTAAGAATTAACCTTTTTACAACACTGTGTGCACGCTGGTCCCTTTTCACCAATTTTTTGCCTCATATATTGCACTTTATACTATTTGCTATCTGCCTCTAATACGAGTTGAAATTAAGATTATGAAGAACTTGAAGTAAGATTAAAATTTATTAAGACTTCAAACCGGTGCACGTGCCAATTATAATGAAGCAAAAAATAAAACTACTGACAAAAACATTGCAGTCGCAAATGTCACGAATAATTATTCGTGATGAAACATGCAAGGATAATTTTAAAATGGACGACTGTAACAGTTCATGGAAAAATGCACTTTATTTCAATGCACGAGGAAAAATCTCTTGAGAGCACAAGTTTTATCAAGCTGGGTCGAAAGGTCGGAATCTGAGTTTTCAGCGAAAAACAATTTCAGATTCCAAAGAGTAAGCTGCAGGTAGTTTTACATCTTAATCTGAAAAATTGATAGTCCCAAAATGAAAAATTGAAAATTTAAATCTTTTCCCCTCTGATGCATTTGTTTATAAACAATTTTGTCTTATATCCCGCGAACGGCCACAAATCGTCGGTCCCCTCACAAAAGAACGTAACCGCATTTCAATGTTGCCAAATTTCCACTCGCAAACTGCATTTTGACTAGGAAAAGCTTGGAAATGTCTATATGAAAATGTCACTGATTTTTCTTCTGCTCTTATGTAAAAATCACAGAAATTTTGATTAAAAATTGGTCAGGTACATTCCTGTAAAAAATTGAATTGTTTAAGTCAACATTGCAACGTTGGAAAGGAGTTACGTTCCTTCATTCGGGAGACGATGAAATGAACTGCATTTTGCAATATGGAACTATAAATTCTAGCCCGGTTTAAAAACAACGTATGTGCCATTAGTTTCTCTATGCACATAAGTGTTTTTCCAGAAGAGCCAGAATTTATAGTTCCAAATTGCAAAATGCAGTCCAAATGGACCGAGTGCACCAGAGAAGAATCAACCCACATTGAGTTGAAACTGAGAAAAAGAGGTTGGAAGTTGTATTCCTGCATAAAGCTCAATGTAGAAAATTAACTTTAACCCCTCTTTTCATAAACCAATTTCTTTCTTTCGACTCTCAGATTTTGCCGAGAGAAAATAAACGACAAAGACATATTTTTAACTCAATTTTTTTCGACAATAAGGGTATAGGTTTCTCTCTGATAAACTCGGTCCAAATATGAGCGCACATGCAAGTGATAAACGATACAAGGAAGCAGACGAAAGACAAAAAAATGAAAGGATGATGGAAAATAGGGAAATACGTACATTATTGCGGCGCTGGCCCTTCTCTTCCGTACTCGGTATCCTTTGATGGTAAATCGAATGCAAAGGTGCATGAGTCATATACACCGAGCCCTTGTAATAATCCTCACTTCCCGCTAAGTTTGGAGAAGAGGCCACTGCAACATAAAAGGTTACGGCATTCGTCACAAGTCTTTTTCTCCCTCCTTTCGGACATTTTTAGCTACCGTACCACCCGTCAACTTCTTCCTTTCGCGCGACTTTTCCACTCGACGCGGCGACCTTTTTTCACATCATTTTTGCAAACGGCTAGGGATTCGTGGAGGATTTCATACAAAGGCTCTATGTATTTCACTCGGCTCAACAACCCACCCAAGTGTTACCAACTTTCAAAATCATCGGCGGATCCAGCAAATAGGCAACCTTGTTTTTCGTCCATTTAAGCCTGTGGAAATGTATCGATTCCTGGAGGGGCCAGGTGCCCCGAAAAGAATCGATTATTTACCATAGGCTTAAATGGAGGAAATCAGGTGTTGGCAAATCGCTGGATCTGCCTCTGTTCAAAATGGACGTTTGGAGACTCACTCTCATTACTCATTTCTCTTCTTTTTTTTTCAATTCCAAAGTTCAGAACACAAACTCACCGCGTTCAATCTATTCTATTTTTCTAAGAATTTATTGTGGAAAATAACGGTTCATCGGTAAAGCAAGCCACAACTAAACGGTCACCTTCCTCGATTTAGGTTTTGATAGGTAACTCGGCTAATTATGTTTTCTTCCACCGATCGAATTTCCACCGCAGGACGAAACTTTGTCCGAGGAGAGGGGATGGAAAGATTTTTCACTTTTGAATCAGCATTTGACTGAAATTTTACAGTTGTGATTTTTTTTTTCATCGCAAAAAGACAACATTTGATCCGTTTTATAGGCAAGAATTTCGTATGAAATGGGAAAAGGAGGAGTCTTAGATCAAATATTTCTCCTTGGAGAGGGAATTTCGGAAAATTAAAGAATAAATAATGAAAATCGCATTAATTTTCCTTTTTTTATGAGCAAATGGAGTTTTTGATGATCAGTATCAGTGTGGGCTTTGTGAGTTTGGACTCGTTTGAAAAGTCGATAAAGCGTAGAACAATTTTTTTTTTTTTTTTTTTTTTTTTTTTTTTTTTTTTTTTTTTTGTGCCGCTATTGAAACGTAAAAATACGTACTGAGCCACGTCGCAGGAGAAACGAGCGTTGAGGACATCACTTCTTGGACATGCTTTACCGACAAATTTTCCTTTCGTGCACACACAAAACTTCTCGGAGAGCGGGCATGACGGAATGCAACACGATTGGTAACACTGGGTGAGTCAGGACACAAAAAATACACGGTCACATTCAACACTTTGTTTCGTCTAAGGGAGGGCTTCAGCGTCTTTCGAGATCAGGAAAACAGCTTTTGCGATAAACTCATCGGCTGTGGGTCATTTATCTTTTATAAATACTAGGTACCTTTAAAAAATTTACCGAGATTGGTGGTAAAATTATTGGTTAGGGTATGGGTTAAAAATAATTCCCTGGGTTTTTCTTTTCTCAGTGAGCCTCTCATGTACCTCCTAGTTCTGGACTGACGATGCAACTATGATTAATAAGGTTATTTTTATCAATTGACTAGGTAGAACAAATGCCATTTGTATTCTTCTTAAAGTGGTAAACTTGTTTTCAAAGATTGGCAAAATGTAACTTTTTATTTTAGGATATGTGCCAAATAAAGCACTTCATTTCCTCAGGATGGGTATATTAAATTCAGGGGAGGAAATAAAAAATCTTAGTACCGAGCTGATTTAAAATTGCGTCGCATGGTTCTGAATAATTTAAAAAACCATTGCTTGCTTTTTTCCCGATCACGAATTAAATGCTGAAGAGGAACCGAACTTGAATCCCAAAAATTCCATGTCAAAATCATGCTGTATGTACAACCACAGGGGACGACACGAGACATAGAATCAGTTTCTGAGCTCTTAAAATTACTCGGGCAAACTTTATAAAATCTCCGCTCAAGTTTTATCGAACACTTCTCTCATATTTCATCTCACTTCCTTGGGTTAAGATATCAAATGTGCCGTTCCTTTTTTGTGGCGATCATTTTTCGTGGACTGCAAGGAACTTACCTCACGTACTGTGCCTCCCGCCCCCTATACTTTTAGCCTTTGCAAAATAGAAGTAAAAAGATGTGCGCCACAGGGTTGGAAAAAAGTCAAAACAACAAAAGAGAGATAGTTGACTGGTTCAAAGATGTCCACTTACCTTCTTGCACACATAAATCACTTTACATTGAAATATTTTTTCCCAGCTTGAAATATCCTATTTGTTAGGAAGAACTCTGGTTAAATTATTTTCTTCAAACAGAGCATTTTCTGTAAATGCTCATTTTGTAAGAAAAGAGGAAACGGTTGCGTTATTTTTCTAAATTTTACATGCTATAAAAAGGTTAAGTCTCATGATCAATGTCCGAGACTCATTAGCGGATCCAGCAAATCAGCAACATTGTTTTTCCAGCATTTAAACCTATGGAAATGTATCGATTGTTGTAGGGGCCAGTTGCTCTGACAAGAATCGATTATTTGACATAGGTTTAAATTGAGTAATCCGATGTTGCCAAATTGCTGAATGCGCCGTTGCCGAGACTCTGAGGATAAAATTGGTCATAATTAAGGGTGGAAGTCAAAAGCTTTTACAACTCACAACGCTCGCAACTTTCTTCCTCCACCCCTTTCACTGAGGGTATTTTATAAATTGTACCCTAGGTTTTGGATGACATACCCGAGACTTTGAGTTAGACTAAGCATGATATATTGATAAGATTCAATTTTGATGTAGGTATCATTATTGCTGGGAAAAAAATTTCCAAGTGAAGGGATCATTCAACAAACAATTCCATCAGAGAAAACAGTAATCGGCGGGCAAATCAATCAATCGATGAAAAAATGTACTAACCAGCCTTCGTGGCTGTTTCACGAGGGGCCTGTTAATTCCGTTCATTTTGTTGTACAGGCCGCAGGCGTTGCATAGGTAGTGGCCAGTGCCGTCCCTCCGCCATAAAGGGGTTGAGATTGCACCGCAATTCACGCATTCTCTACCCTCGAAGTAATACGAAACTTCATCTACTGAAATTATAACAATTCCGTCACTGATAAGAGAGGAAGCAAGGTGCTCATAGAGAGGAGAAAAAGTGTAAAATTATACTACCCTGAACAACGAATTTGTTGCATACTTTTATAAGACCGAAATGAGGAATAGTTTCTTTAGGAAAATAACTAAAAGATTACAATAGCTGCTTCAAGAAGGTCCATGATTTTTTTTAAGTATTAAAAAGGTTGAAAGTACGAAGCAAATGATTCTTCAAAAAGAAAATATTTGATTTACCAGAAGATGAAATAACTAAGTTTACCCTCGGCGAGGGCAAGGGGTAGCACCGCTACTCCATCAGGAGCAGATATCTATTGGAAATATTTGGTAACATATTATAGTTTTTCGACTAAATTTTAAGAATGTAGGAGAAAATTACAAATCCAATGATACAGAGGAGCTTATGGGCAGCGCATTTCTCAACTTTAACGTTTCAAAATTTTTACACGCGTGTGCGTTATTCTTAAAAAAAAAATCTTCAACATTTGCTGCTTGAATTTTGTACAGAATGACCATGGGCCGCAAAAAGAGAAAAGGTAAAAGAAAAAAAAGAGAAAATTCCAAGCCAAGATTGTGATTAATTTTATTTCCGGAAACACACAAAATGCGCGGAAATGTTGAAACGTTGAAATTGAGTTAGGTGGTTTCGAACTTCAGCTCGTGATACGCAACCATTATTAGCGCTTGCAGTTGGAGTCATACTAAAGTAATAAAGAGGAGTCATAAAATTGAGGAAGCATGAATGTGAACACACATGCATAATAAGATTTTGTGTCATAAATTTGACAGGTTCTCGTTACGGCGGTGATTACGATCGATCGATCAGAAAGTTTATCGCTCCGTTCCAAGCGCTCGACCGATCAACGATAGCTTAAAGTTCCATTTGGCGCGTCGCGGGAAAAAGCATGTCCCCACAACGCAACGTGACGCAGAAAACGCGGCAAGTGTGTCGGGTATAGACGAAGTGGGGCTCGGGGAGGGGGGGCACCCCAGAGAATAGAGGATACAGGAGGGCAGTGAGGGAGAGGGCATACACTAAAAAGTTGGCAGAACCGAGATAAGAAGCCTCAAACTAACGGAAAAGGAAATAGATGGTTGTAGTTGTTATCAGTGGACACGGTATATACGAATTGCGCGCGCTCTCTCTAGACCCGAACAATACTTTTTAATAATAATACCCTCATGGCCGCTGGCCATTGTTGTCGAATCGAACTGGGGTTTCGATGTATGTGGGTAAAATTTACAATGTATCGATGGTTTTGAAACGGAATCCGGCATCATTGTTGGTGACGATGCAACGGAGCGCGACGCTCAGGTATACATAAAATAGGAGACTTAAAATTCTGTTTTGCAATGCATGGATTTCCGGGAAAAATTCAGGTAATTATGCGTCAAGACTACTTTAAATAATTTCTAGGAGCTGTGCCTACGGTACACATGCGTAGTTTCAGCGCGGGCATGATGGGCCGTCAACTTAAACTTGTATCATTTAAACTCGCTAAAATGCACATTGCGCGTTAAAAAGATGAAAAAACACATTTCAGTTTAAATTTCATCTTTTTATACATATATCCAACGAAATCTCCAATTGAAGTGGCGTTCAGTGTGGATAAGCGCTAGAGAAGGGACTTAACAGAGATTTGAAGATCGGCATACGTTCTCTTCATTTTATTTTTGGAAATGCACACTTATCTCGATATGAATAAAAAAAAGGCACCGGAGTTGAAAGATAGTTGCTAATTTTTAGGTCGGTAAGAATTAAGAGTGATAAAACTTTGATGCGAGAGAGGGCGCGCTTTTGATTAAGGTATGTTTTGATCGGTATCCTTACATTTCAGAGAATGCAACTATTGAAGCTTGCAGGATATTGTCTGGCCTACCTTGCAAAATGAAGGCAAATGCTTTTCTCACAGCTTCTTACGGCATGCCCTTACATGTTTCCCTTTCTGCCAGAGCTTTTATCCGTCTCTGATAATGACTTCTGAAAGAGCTCATTGGTCACATCAGGATAATTTTCTGTTCATACTCTAGTATATACTATTGCTCTAGACCAGAGCAAAGCTATAAGTGTGCATGCGCCTTTCCGAGAGAAAAGAGGAGAAACTGAATAAAAACAAATCATCTTTATTGCTCGTAGTTTCAACGTTCACTTGATTGCTCGCACTAAAAGTGGTTTCAATAAAATGATATTATACAATTACGAACGGTCGATGAACAGATGATTGGTCATTATTTAAATCGATTGAGAAAAAAAGGCAACGAAACATTTGGGAAGGAAAGTTAATTTCTCATCAATGACACTAAAAAATCAAATCCAGAGGGCAGGGGCATAAGGCTTACATAAAAACTAAAGAACTGAGAGCAAAAGTACAGGAACGATAATGAGACAAAGATGAAAGGAAGAAATGATATTGACGAATTGAGTGTAAACGGTGAGTTGGGGATTGACTGTTCAAACGGAGGACAGATCATTTTGTGTTGCCAAGTGGAGAGCCTTCCTCGCAACATGTTGAAGTTAGCTACAGGCTTCTCAAACACTATTGAATGATAAAATTAGTTCGGAGTACACACGATAATTAGTTGACTTGGCAAAAAATGTATGCATGATAAGTATATCAAGTGATCGCTATAATTTCGGAGACTAGATTAAGTTGCTCCTACATTTCGATCGTCATGCAATTTGTGCTAGTAGCGCAAATCGAGCCTCTTTGATCCACGGTCACACAGCTTCCATGAGCTATTTGTATTATTTGTAGGAAAACCAAGGACTGAACGAAAACTGAAGGAATATTTAACTAAATGGCGTCTTAGTTTGTTATATTAGAGGCTCACAATTGTCGGACTGAGATGCACTTCTCAGGCTCTTGCTAGCTTTCAAATGAGCTTAAAAACTCAATCTCTGCTCGGGGAGTGTTTTTTGCCTAAATTCGCTTTTTAAACTGACTTGAAAAAATGAAACCACTAGCAATTTGTCCCTCAGCGGTGCGATGTATTTTCCCATGGACGATGACATTTTCGTTGTGGACGAGATTTGAAGGGAAAAAAAAAAAAAAAAAAAAAAAACAACTGACAACGTAGTGTCTGGGATTGGACTTGGGACTTTATCAACTCGATCTGACACAGCTTATCAGACTAATTAGTTGAATAAGTAAATAGTTATGAATCTCGAGGGTTATTTGACCAGGGCTAGGCAGAACGGGGGCGGAAGGATGGGGGGGAGCAGTGATGAGTGGTGAGGGAGGCAACAGGAGTCGACACAAAACTGGTTCCCGAGACCGCCGCCGCCGCGCCGTTGAAGATACGAGTGCGAAGTGCAAAGATTATAGGTCACACTTCTTTCACTCCAATTCGATGTGACTGGATTTAGGTTTAGGTCCCCTCCTTTTCATCTCCTTGCTCGAGGTACCATCAAGAAACGATTTCTGAGTCGAGAGGGCAAATCCAACAGCGGTGATAGTGAAGGTATAAAGGAAAATACAAGAAGAGTGGTCTTAAGCAGAGGTGTCGAATTTGAGAGCAATCAGTCAACCAATCTGTGGCGGGAGTAAGAAAACATCAAAATATCGAGCACATTTTGCTACTTGCTGAAATACCTTAAAAACCCTCTTTGTCTATTGCTCTGTCTATCAATTTCAATAATCAGCCCACTGGCAAGGAATTTCGCGGCTACGAAGTGTGATAACCATGGAGGACCCGGGTGGCGCAGAAAGGTAGAAATCAGTGGCGAGGTGTAAATGATCGATTTTCGATATTTTCCCATTTGAAGCTAAGGTAAAAGATCATGCGATCGTAAGGATTAAGACGTTCGTTGCGACCACTTTGTTAGTCGATCCTTCTCCATAGGTTTAGTAGGCAGATAAATCGATATATCGCATAGCAGACCACATCACTGGAAGAAATTGACAGTCGGGGGAGGACTTCGACCAGCACACTAACGAACAGCGCATACAGTGAAGAAAGATGGCGCTGATTATGATTCAACAGCGGCAACTCGCGTGTATGGCTGATTATCCATCGTCGATATTTAATGAACCCTTTCTCGCTCCGCAAGAGCTCCATAAAACTGTTCTGCCATAACCTACGGTAAATACGTTTTACGGTCTCCCCGAGCGAGTTCGGACCAATTTTCAGAGTTGCATTTTCATTAATGAACCCCTCGTAATTGCGCGGTCACCCCCCCCCTCCCTTAGGCCCTTATTCCCGAGTTCAGAGGGGTCACTGCCCCCTCTCGATACTGGAGGCCGTTCAACCGCTCTCGGTGGTACCGGTGAAATGGATTGCATTTTGCAATAAGGAACCACCAACTCTGGCTCTTATGTAAAAGCACCTTTCTGCATAGGGAAACCAATGGTGTATATGTTGTTTCTAAACAAGGTGGAGACCAAACGGTGCTGGGTCCACACCATTTCGTGGGGAAACAAAGCCAAAAAATTCCAAAAATTTTCTGTTCAGATTTTTAATGCCTTCAAGAACTCACCCATTTTAAGAAATCGAAACACAAGTGAACGCATTTCTGCCGAACGGAACTAAGTGCATTATGGCGTGAGCCCTATTGTGCATAAATTCTTGTGGGTCTTGGGGCTCATGTCTGAATGTACATAGTTCCGTTTGGCAAAAAATCGTCAAATTTTCAAGTGCCGGCGACCGAACGAACCGAATTCCTTTGATCTTTCGCACCGAGGTCCCGAAACGCCCTTGGACCGGACAGCACGATGAGCAATGATGCAGAGGGATGGACTGATGCACATCATCCGAAGACAAATTTACGGGACTGGAGTGTTGCGAGGAGTCGGTGCCACGCAGTCTGACCTGCCCCATCGAAATTGGAATTCCATCCCGAGAGGTGTCGGGGATTTCGGAACGTTTTTTCGGGTGTGCTTCTTTTTGACAAATTATCACCACGCCCCCTGTGTTGTTTCGACCGAGCACTCGGCCGCCTTTGAGGGTTGTTATAAATGAATATTTAGACCAGACCAGAGCACCTAACCGCCGTGCTAAGGAAGAACACCGCACGAACATTTAAGAGTTTCCAAATTTCCCTTGATTAAAATATGTATTTTGACAACGTTCATGCATATTTTTTCTTTAAGTTTTCAAATATTTTAGATTGAATTGCGTACACAATTGTATGAGAATTTTTGGGGGAAAATACTAACCATTTTTCTAATAAATTCGGTTTTTATCTAAGGAAACTTGGCAACGTCTGAAGGCTCATTTGGCGTTCTTCCTTAGCAAACCAGTAAAACCGAACGAATCACGGCCCGCCTTCTCACGCTCCCTTCACTTCTGCGCCTCCTGTTGAAGATTGATGGTTTATTTATTTTTTACACATGTTTTGCGCGTGTCTTTTAAGTGACGTCGGTGACATTTTGCTCATATTTCTGAGGATAGCATCCCTTCTTGTATTTGAGCCAAATACTGAAACTGAAGGTGCAGCAACGGAACAAAACAGCGAATCTATCTTGAGAAAAAACTATTATCAAAATTATCAGATTAGTGATACTTCGTACGGTCTCTGAATTAGTATTAGCCATAAGTCATAACCAATAATGGTGGTATTTCACCGTTGAGTAATAAGTTTACTACTACGTTGGTAATTTCACCACCATACGCTAGAAAAAGTATCACTTAATGGTGGGAAGTACCCATGTTTATTGGTCGTGGCCTCCATTCGTTTTAGGAGTTCATTGGAAGCATTGCTAATTAAGTAATTTTAACAATAGTTTCGTTTCAGTGCATAATCTTTGCTATTATATATCTAATTCCCAAAGTGTTCATTTTTAGTCGTACAGTAGACTCTGGATTATCCGGATTAATTGGTGCCGGGCCCGATCCGGATGAAAAATAAATCTGGATAATAATAGTAAACACAAACACCACCAACCAACACCGCAGTATTCTTATTATGTATGCATCATGTACATACCAACACGAATTTAAAAGGTTAACGTCAAACTGAACGACTCAATGGTGATTGTGAATGGTAGCTGACAACGATAAATTACAATACGACGATTAAAGCGCGCAATGCGTGAAGTGAAGTATTCATGCAGTCTTGTAGCCGCTAATGTGCGTTCTAGGCTAACTAACCGACTGCACTGCGTTTGGCGTAATGCGAGAAGTATTTATGCAACGTAGTAGGCGCTAATGCGTTCCACGCCGACCTCACTGTTTGGCGCAATGCGTGAAGTATTCCTTCAGACTTGCAGGCGCCAATATGCCTTGCGACCGCCTCTCCGCGGATCCGCTCACTTATCGGAATGCGTACGTAGTTACATGGTTGCAAAATCGATCTGGATAATCCAGAGTCCGGATAATACGAAGCCGGATAATCCAGAGTCTACTGTAATTGTATCTAAAGATCCATTCGGCCGCATTTCATGTATTTTCGAAAATCGGTGGATGAAAACTGCTTGAAGAGCTCGCCTTTCATCAAATCCGCATTATGAAATAAATTATTTACTGCCGGGATAAATAGTGATGATTCCTCCGTTTAAATCAATTATACATATCGATTCTACAATCTAAGAACCGATTGTTGCATCTAAATGTGGGAAAAACAGTGCTGCCAGCTTGCAAGATCAGTCGCTATTTCGTGGCTAAAAACTTAGCTAGTAGTTATTTTCTATAGATAGCTCATCTAGAGACTATTACATGCTGATACGGAAAAATGCGCCCGGACCGATTTCTTGACACATCCATTATAAAAAACTAACAATTTGGGAATTTGAAAGCTTAAAACTGGAGCTGTGAATAGCTGCCATAGGGACTTTAGAGCCTCAAGACGTGTAATATACGTCCTAAACCTTTATGAGGTGAGAAGATACAATGTAACTTCTACTTCACAGAGGCGTAAAAAACGAGGGAATTTCAAGCGCGCAAACTGTGCACCGGCGATTATCCACTCTACCAAACGTGCTTCTTACAACTTCTCATTTGGTGTTACGAGTACTACTTCGCGCGTGCGTGCCACATTCCCTCTCAGAAAACATAACAAAATTCTGAATCTCTAATGATGATCGCAGATGACTGAAAAGTATAGCGATCGTCCAGAAGTAAATCTCTTCACACTATTCGCTAAATTACACGGATGAATGTGGACTAATGGAATAATATTCGAAGTTATTTTCTCGATTATATATGTGCTATGAGTAAAAATTCACTCGATTTGTTTGGTCCATCCGCACCCAAAAAGTTCAACAACTCGAGTCGAGAATTTCGGCAGCCGGGACCGCAAATCTTGGCTTCGACTGCCGGACTTTTCGGATTGCGGATACTGCTTCAACATTTTTTACCGCGTAAATTGATATCATCTGAATTTAAAACTAAAACTACACTGATAAGTCTCTACCATTTAAGCCGTGGTGCAGTGTGTCCACAAAAGCCGCACCATTTGTTGATCCATGTACCCGCACTTTTGATTCTAGGAACCGTATACCCTCGGTTCATCCAACAGTTGGATAGTTCGACAGTTTGACGGTTTGATTTGGTTTGAAAGTTTAGTTACATGCACCAAAATTGAGAAGATACGGTCGATATAACACATAGTTTAAGGTTCATACGACAGTACCTTTACTTCAGCGCGCTGAAGTAATAATAATTGCATCTGTTTGTTTTTCTCGATCGGAAGGAGGAAAAAAGTCCTATGGTTCAGGAGTTTTCCACGAGTCATCGAGAACCTCACGTGCGGTGCGGTTACTACAACGATGGCTAATTTACTATGTTTGGTAATTTTGTAGTTCCCACGGTAGAAATCTTACAAAAAACGGTACCTTCTGTCACGAGGGGAAAAAACGGAGACAGAAATGAATGAGATGATGGCACAATGAAGTGTCTGTATTTTCTGCCCCTTTAAATTAGGCAACAGCGCTAACATAGCAAGACTCGGAGCATGTTGACAAAATAACGCTGTACGAGAGGAGAGTTTTTACGCACTTGAGGTCGTTCGGTGTTGGTGTGAGTCGGCCAATCGGCCAATCGACCGCGCGTGATTTCTTGGGTAAACACGGAATCAGTCTCTCTCATTTTCAACGCGGAACCTAGTGAATTTTTCTCAAAATTTCCCGGTATCAAGGTCGTGTGGCGGACTGCCTCACTGACCCAATTAGACGAGGTCACCTCAAGAAAATGTGCCTATCCAGCAATTTCGCAACACCGGATTCCCGCCATTTAAACCTATGGAAATGTATCGATTTTTGGAAGGACCAGGTGCTCCGACAAGAATCGATTATTTAGCATACGTTTAAATGGAGGGAATTCGGTGTTTCCAAATTGCTGGATCCGCTTCTGCTGGCAATAGCTGTCATGTTACCGACAGTGGAGACTCTTGAAAGTTGGCAACACTGTTTCCCTCCATTTAAATGCATGTAAAACAATCGATTCTTGGTGTGGCAGCTTGCCTCACCTAAAATCGATATTTTTAACGAATTTAAATGGGGAAAAAACATGGTTGCCTACTTTCAGAATCACCACTTGTTACCGAAGAGATCGGTGACGACAAAATTGTCTTACTTGAGTTTTCTTCAAAATTTTTCGATTTCAATTTGAATGAGCTGCCTGATTCGGTTATAAAAATGTATATCTATGAATATCTAGGTGCGTCTGACCTTTTAATATTCATAAACTGAGAGTTAAATGAGACAAACTCCCAAAAAATCACCAAATATGACGAATCAAAAAAATTATGTGCTCGTGACACTAGGAGTAGCGATGCTGACCATGAATATATTAAATGATTTAACTTATTTATTCTTTATACTGTTTATAGAACCAGCAAAATCAAAACCTAGCTTTATCAAAGTAAACTTACACCTCTTAATATAGAAAATTTTTAAGAGACACAAACAAATGTAATGAAGATAAGTAACTTAAAAAAACAACATTCACACTGAAAACTGAGAAATACAAATTGAAAAAATACCAACGTTTAACATGAACTTAATTTTGCACACCATGGTTTTTTTCAATGATGACCGCAAGGAACTATTTTTCGCCAACAGCGTTTCAAAAATCAAAAGGCATGATTCTAGTAATATGAAACCCCAACAAAGAGATACAAATTTTAATAAAAAGAGTGAATGTATATGTACATGATAAATCAATCATTTAAAAAACAACTCAACACTTTCACTCTAGAATTTTTTTACCAAACAAATCTGGAGTGAAAGTGGTGAGTTTTTTAAAATGATTGATTTATCACTCAACGAACCGAAGTCACTGGTAAAAAAAAAAACCTCTTTGTTCAAGAGTGCAGTTTCTTGTCGCCGGATTTAAGAGTCTGCACTCTTGTTTCAATGCAAAATCCGCTTGAAACAAGAGTTCAAGACTCTTAAATCCGGTGACAAGAAACTGCACTCTTAAGTCAATGCAATGCGGCATTGGTTCAAGAGGTTTTTTTTTTTTTACCAGTGATGAATTTTTGAAAAACTTGTATCTCCCACCAATCTCATAAAGCGTTTGGGATTTTTTTGGGACTCAATTTTCAGTGCAAATCAAGAATTGGTATCAAATGGAGGAAAATACTCACTCGCAGATAAAGAGGCAGCTGCACTAGGGTAAGGAACTATTGATTGATGTGATGATCTGCCTCTCGAAGGCCCGGAGGAATTTGGGAGACTACTGATCGTCGAGTATGGCAGTGATTCTGGGTTATGTGATGACCCGTACGTTGCATTGGTTACTAAAAAAAGAGAAAAATTAAGAATTAAATACCATCATTGTCAGGTTTTTTAAATTATTGTATTCGAAAAATTTAAAAAATGGAGATAACCTGAGCAAAACTGAGGGAAATTTACGGTTTCCAAAACGTATCTTCCCTTTTAAATATACAGATTTAAGTTTTTTCTCATTTAAAATACGTTTGATCCACATTGCTAGAACTTTATATGATCAGTGGCGAGGTGTAAATGATCTATTATCGATATCTCCCCGAATCTGTAGTAAATAATCGGTTAGTAAGGTGTTTGTTGCGAACACCCTGTTAATTGATCCTTTTTTCATAGGTTTAAATGACAGATTAATCGATATATCGCAAGGTACGCACCGCCACTGCTTCTGATTTGTCAAGAGGTGACATCATTAATTTGTTACATGATGCATCAAAAATCGAATGGCAAGTGAAGATTCCATAACGAAATTGATATTTTACACTAAACAATTCTATACATGGATAGAGATTGAATCTGGGGAAGAGCCGCAAGAAACGTAAGACAAAAATTAACCAAAAAATTGGGACCGACGTTTCATATTCTATGTGCATATAAATTAAATCAAAATTAACTGTTATAATGTAAATAGGATGTGCCGGGCTTCTTAGCCCCGACGGTATCAGTTAATGTTTCCAGAATTGTTAGTTACAACGTTCCTGTGGCTCTCAACTACATAACTGGTACTTACATGAGGCTTGCGAAAAAATTTGAGATTGACTAGAGGAGCGACTTCTTTGAGGAGTGGAGGCGATTGAAGAGTAGCCTGAATCGGACGGATTCGAGCTGGACACTCCATAAGAAGAAGGATTAACTAAGTTTGGATTGTTCGTCATAGTCTGAAAAATTGCATTGACGGCTTCATTTGACGTGTTCAAGTATGACAATGTTGAAGAGTTCGGAGATAGCGAATAACCTGCGAAGAGAGGAACATCGTTTAGTTAAAGTTCAAGCATGCCATCGAGACTTCATGGGTTTATTCACGGGTCATATTTTGTGTCTTTCAAAACAGCCTACCTACACGTGCTATTTTGATAATAATCATTGATGACAGATAAACATTGCGTTTTGCTTACCTAAAACTCTCAATTTTTTAACATTTAGGACGTAAAATCACTAAACCACGATTTTTGGATCAATATTACTAATGAATCTATTTTTTATCCATTTTAAGAGCCCATGCGCTCTTTTAAGCGCTAGTAATCATTAAATCACCCTTAAATTGATCCAAAATTCCATGGAAAACTAATTGATAAATATTCATTGGAAGCACCATCTATAAAAATCAAAAAAATGTTAAGAATTTTAAGCTTGGTGAAAAAAACCAACTAATGACTGCCCCGAGCACTCGCCAAAATGTATGATAATTTGACCATTCGTCTTGTTTTAAGAGATCCTCGTGGTTAGCGCCTTCAATAGTTTTTATCTTACCATTATATGATACCCTAAAATATAAAATCATAAGTGTAACATGTAACGCGTACCGTAACGCACACCGAATGAGGCGCTAAGCGCCACGGGGGATTGAACTAGCGAAGGTGTAAGGGGGCGGACCCCCTTGCATAATGTAAAATCACAAGAGTGTAGCGTAACGCACAACGCCTCAAGCGTGAAACGCTCGGGGCCCCTGGTTTAATACAAATCATCAGAATTCAGAAACTTGCAAAACCTCCGTCACGAGGATTCTAATAAGGGAGGGTCTATATTTGTTTCTAGATGGATCGGTTCCAGTCTTAATGGTTTTGAAGCCTGCATAGTAAGGAAACGAGACTCAGGGCGCGTGCTCTACTCGATGTTATGGGGGTGCAAATGTAAGCGTTCAGTGGAGCGTTACCTTGAGTGGGCCACATGTTAACGCCCGGGATGGAGTGGATGTTGGGCGTCTCGCTTGTTCCGGTTGGGCTCGAGGACGAAAAGTACGGCGCCGTAAAAAGCCCCGCTGCCCCCGCTGTCCGGTGATACAACGGGCTGAAACAAAAAAAAATCAAATTGGATATTCTGATGGAGGCTTTAAAAAACTTGACAGGTATGAATCCAAGGTGGAGTATTCTTTAGGAAAAAGCACAATTTCGGGTCTGGGAGGACAAGACGCATAAGTGCAGTTTCTGAAAAAAATTGAGCTATTAATGGTTTCAAGTAAAACTGGTCTAAGGGCCCTGTGAAAAATTCACTCCTAAATTCCAGCTTTTAAGCATCAGAAAGTCAGTTTGAACTTTCTTACCGCCATAAGGATCCATGTAATTTCGAAACTTCAAACACGTATCTCTCGAAATAGCAACAACTGCTTTCATGCGCCTTGTCCTCCTGGTCCCTCAATTTGTGAGGGAAACAACATTAGTAGGTACCCCTTACCTCAGCCAAAAAGTACCTAACTACATTTTAGTCTTTTCGAGATATCAGAGGGAAAACCGCGCGTCGGCCACATTGATTCCTATGTAAATCGCAATTTTTAAAACTGTGTATTTCATAACCAGCGTAGGATGAGGCTACCCACTATTCCACGCAAATGAAACCGTTCATGGAAATTACGAAAATGCCACAAAATTGATTTTTTTCAAAAATGTGAGTTAGATACCTTTTGGCTCTGGGGTACTGATATGAATTTGGATTTTTGGCGTGGAATAATCATAACCAGAAATATTTGATGCGGGAGAATCTATCATTGGAAGTGGCCTTTTAGTGAACAACATAACCATGTACAAAAACACAGGTCTCACGTTGATCATAAGGATAATAAATATTCTAGCCCAGAGTAAAAAGGATGACGAAATGAGCCAAGATTTGTTTGGCATCTCGGCGTGCTGAGCTTCCCTAAACGTTCAAGTGGACCTCGCCTGATGTCTTCCGAGTCAGCACTTTCCAGTTTCCGCACATGGTCGATTTGCTTCATTAAATTATGACGCGGTGTTGTCTTTTGGAAAGTAAATTGTCCCGACGAGCGTAGGAGAAGAATTGTCACTGTAAAACGTTTCCTATCAAGCTCGTCGATAATCACAAATGAACCAAGCATAGTAAGAGCAACTGCGGGAAATGATGAGCGCAAGCCAATGCCACAATCGATTCACCGAAAAGATTAATCTAGCAAAGTAAAATATCTATATGATAGTTTTTCAATGAACCTCTAATCACTTCAAAGAGTAGATGATTGAGAAAATTTGTGGGTTCAATTCTTAAACCCTCAAATTAATGATATATATGTTAATCCTTTTTGTAGGCTTTTTTCAAAAAGTGCAACGTCAAGTACGTTACAAAGGAACGTAGACACATTATAATTGAATTTACACCCTCATTTGTTGCAAACATCGAGCGAACTTTTTTCCGCGCAAAGTACCGTCACTTTATGTCTAAAAACATACACTACACGTTTCAAATACGCTATTATGAAGCGTTGCCAAAGAGAGTGATTGAGACTAAATTTTCGTAATGGATTTTCTCGTAAAACATTGCAATCAGTTTTGTCGTAGTCATTCAACCTTGAAATAAGTTAAGCTCCTTCGTCTCCACAACGGAATGCCAAAATCTGACGCAACTATTCGAACTTGTATGATGTCCGCATTGCATACGCATAAATTGAAGGCGCATCAGTTCGGCACATTCACTCAGCCAGCGATAGTAATCTACAAAACTCTACCAATATAATTTAAAAGAACTGGATGATTCCAGTTCAACAGCAAAATTCGTCCTACTTGTAAATTACGAGGATTCTCGGAGAACGTAGGAGGTGCGCGAAAATAATTAAGACGCCGTTTTCAACAAAACAGCATTAAGTCTCCATAGAGGACTGTGCTTGGTGGCGTCTTGTGTATATTTTTCCACCGACGTCGAATCTCTCCGTTTGTTATTTGTTGGTAACGTACAGAAGCAAGGATGAAGCATATTGCAGATATGGTTGTATTGCTTAAAATGCGGAATGGATAAGTCCTTTTGCACAGTCAACACTGGACAAAGAGTATATTGGATCCAGAGTCCAGACTCTTAAAGAATTTGACAAGTATTGGATAAAGAATTTGGATCGAGAGCAACTTTACTTGCCAATTTTTTCAAGTCTTGACTCTGGATTCAAAGGATTAATTTTTCCTGTGAAGGGTGAAGTTCAGCCATTCTTAACTACGAGACGATTGACAATATTTTTATAGAGGTTAAATGAAGAATTTACAGAAACGCATGGTAACACAGAGTCATAAAAATGGAAGTGTAAAAAGTCTCACAAATGAAATATATCGACAGCATCGCTCATTGTGGTGGTCGGAGACTCGCTCTGCGTTTTCTTCGACATTTTTGCTTTCCGGCGGAAACGAAATTCGGTGTAACTGCGGCCCTGTGAGCTGAGAAGATCTGTGATGTACAGGTCAGCTGGTATCGATGGGGAAATGCACTCTGATAGGTCGATTTAAAAGCATTGTTAGTGCTCGTTGTGCATTTTCGAGGAAATTCGAAAATTCTGGAATTGCACCCCCGGATCCGTTAAAATTGATTCCGTATGAATTATATAGATCACCACACTTCAATCACGTACTCTCATTGAGCGTCACCCAAAAATGCAAAGCTGAAATACGTTTGGGAAATAGGTTAGTTAGTTTATAATTATGGCTGACAAATAATTACGTCCTTTAAAAATGTATGCGACGCGCTCGATTCTGGCCTATGGAAAACAACATAACATTGAGAGTTTTTCGGGCACAAAAATTAATAGCGGTTCGTACAGCGATGATTTTAGGCGGTACGTCTGAGGAGAGAAAAATCATATTTTAGAGACTAATTATGTTTTTAAGTTCCTATGCACTCCCTGCCTTCTTACAGCGTAAAAGTATTTTTGTAAAATCAGATCGCAAATATATCCAATGGTTGATAAAAACCAAAATTTAGGAGAATTTGCTCAGCGAAGAACACATGCTCAACTTTTTATGCAAATGTCTCGATACAATATAATATAATGAGTTAGAAACAGTGTTGATCTCCACGCTTGACTTTTGTCTCACCTAAGTATTTTTATCAAATAGGAATTGCTAGGTCTCAAAAATATTTTATCCTTGGACTTGGAGAAAACTTGCTGTTCCTGTCATTCCAAAGACATTTATCAAAGGTTTTAGTTGAAAGGCATTAACTGAGGGATTTCACTCGCGTCAAAAATGGTTCTTTGAGAGAGCTCTTTCAATTTTCTCAGAAACCAACGGATTTCTTTTAAATGAGAAACGAGCAGTTACATAACAAACTGTTTGATCTTATAGCATAGATGAATTTTCCCTCTTCGTTGAGGGGGATAGGAAATAACAAAACAACTTGGGGGGGAAAAGTTTAAGTAAACGAATGATGGCAAACACTTTCATTTGATAAAGCCTTTCCGTCTAAATGCGGATTTAGTAACAATACATTGATTGATTAAACATTTTATGGAAATTTTTAAACTTCAGCAAAATATTTACAATCTCCTCGACCTCCGCGACGCTTTAATATAAAATTGCATGCGAAAGGTATTCATTATTGTTTAATACGACTGATAAGATAATTTAAGATATTCTAAACATAAATGAACGGAGGAAAATGTAGGAAAATACCATGAAAAATTATGAATGTATATTGAAATTTTCATTTTCAAGCGGGAGGTATTTTTTCCTCTGTTTACCTCTTGCCTGACGCTACATAACTTTATCTCTGGGATGAATCGAACGCATTAAGGCTGAAATGGGATTCAGCACTATTTTTTCTCCATTCAAGTTCATTAAAAATATCGATTTTAGGTAAGGTAAGGTGTCTAGTCAAGAATCGATTATTTTACATACATTTAAATGGAAGGAAAAAAGTGTTGCTCACTTTCAAAAATCGTCACTTTTTGCACATGGTTCTTTTCTATTTACTTCGTATGTTTACAACTCCTTTCGGCATACGCCCAATTTTTACAGGATCACCCGCTTATGAGGCGAAATAATATGAATCCTCGCATTAAAAATTGCTAAAAGTCGAGGGAGAAGTGAGACTACAAGTAACTGTTAAATCGCATTTTGCATGTAAGTAAATTTATAAAAATTATCTTATTGTCTCTTTATAGGAGTTCTCCAGCAATGTATAGTGATGATATTTTAAACTGCGATTTGTATAATTTAAGTAAAATAATGATGAAAAACCAGAGGGAAATTACACATTCCACTTAGATCGCAAAGATATACCTATCTCCTAGAGTGTTTCAACTGGAAGCAATCCTCAGGCCTGATTAGGTTCTCAACGGACGTAATACTTGATAATCAAAGATTTGACAGCCATAATTATAAACAAACTGCCGGAGCGAATTTCCAGCGTCGGCGAGACCACAACGCAAGCAAGCTTGAAAAGCGAAACTAGAATCAGGATCACACACGCGGTCTGCTTGTTCCTGCTCAAGAGCGGAGAGACACCCCGAGCGACTAAAAAAACGGCGAAAAAGAAGAAAACAGTGAGGAGATACACTTCACTGAGGCAGCGCATTAACACGACGAGGACTGATGGTGGATTGGAAATCAAATCAAAGCGCGATTTGCGAAAACGGAGCGCGATAAGTGAGGATCCGCGAGGAACGTGAGCTATCAGAGTGGAACCGCGGAGTTGATGGCGATTGGAAAATCCGCGGAAAACTGAGGAGCCAGCGAGTTCTGAGCTCGGTCCACGGCTGACGCTGACCTTCCGCAGTCGGCCGAGACCTCAAAACATAGTTATTGGTCTCGAAATGTGGAGTAGTTTGGGCTTTTTTCGGGTAAATATTTTGATTCGAGGCGTGAGTCCGAGGCGTCGCCGCCGGTCGAATTCGATCCCACGACGAGGAAGCGCCGCGACGCGCGTGCGAGCGCCGGTTCCTTCCGCTTTATCGCTTTTGCCGAGAGCCCGGTTTCCATGTGCGCGAACAGCTGGTTTTTCGGCGCATGTGGGTCAGTTGGACCGCGTCTAGCAGAAAGGAGCCAAGGCACATCAGCTATTGCCAAATACAACTGGGAAATTTA